TTTCCCCAGTCATCGTCCAGGGCAGCCTCTGAGAGATGGGATCCTCCCACCTGAAACAGGAAACACATCATCCACAATTAGAATAAAAAGGGCGGTCCCTCCTAACCACCTCAGTATTTTGTGTTTCCTCCGGCCGAACAGGAGCATCGCAACGTTTGTTATTTTACTCCAGGCCTATCATGCTAGATAGCAGGGGCCTCCTGAGGCATGCTGCTCTCACTCGCAGGACAGTGGACCTGTAGGGTCTCATGCACAGGACTTTTCCCAGGACTGATTCCCCCAGAGTCCTTACAAAAAATGTTTGCCCAGAGGTTCCCCTCGATAATGGAAGGAGATGGCAACCATCCTCGCTGGCGTAGTGTCTCCAGATGGAGTCCCCCGGAGTGTCCTGCTACAGGAATTGACGGATGACCTGATGGGCTCTCTGGCGGCAGTAGAGCTGGATCAGAGCAGGACACGAATAATGTGCTTTGTCGACCATCCACATCGGCAAGCAGGGGCGCCAGAAGTGGGGCAGGAGCGTGAGTCCAAACGGGAAGGGTGATGCACACCGTTGGACTCTTCCTCACAGGCTGCTTCTCCCATTTTGGGGGTTCAAAGCGCCAGCTCCAAGGTAGGCGGGTCTACAATTGACAAGTCCCCCCTACCTGTACCCTTCTTGCTCTGGGGGCCTACTTCGGTGGGGCAAGAGGTAGTTGGCTTACTTGATGCACCTCCCAATGGGTCTCTCTCCAGGGGGGTGCAGCTTGGTCTCGGGTGGCAGGCTCTGAGCCCTTCCCTTTTTGGGCATAAGTATAGGCTTCAGAGGATAAGCCCCTGCCAGCAGAAGCCAAAACACCCTAAGAGTGCTTCCTGCATTGACAAATTGTTTTTCTTTCCGGGCCAAGCTTTTCTGCCAGATCTGTGTATCGCCAAAGAGGGGCATGCATGGGAGAGAGTGTTTATGGTCATATCTCCCTCACACAGACATGATCTGGCTCCCCAGTTACTGGGGATGGATCCAGGCAGTATCTTATTTAGGACAGCCTGGCTGTTCACCTGCTTTTTCTGGACTTTGGCTGCGCTCTCCCCTCTAATGTACACCTTGTACTGAAAGGTATTCCTTGCAGCGTCAGTGTCATAGAAATCCTGAGACTGCAGGGCCAACACTCTGGTGGATGTATTGCGGTGTGCTTTGGGGGGGCTCAGTCATGTTCTTGTGCCTGCAGACAATGTACTGGGCAGAGGAGGTATTGGGGTGGAGACTGAATCACCCCGTTTTACCTGGAGAGGCAGACAAAGGTGTAATTTACAGGCTTTGCAGATAGTCCATTTTACCTGGGGGTGAGTGCTGCACAGGTGAATGACCTTGCTGTGTGCACAGGTGGTAACCTCCAGTCAATCTGGAGCGATTACTGCTAATTAGGCTGCACTGATATGTTTTTTCCCTATGCTGAAAAAGTCTTGTTTGTCACCTGGGTGGGGGCTGCTCCACAGGTGAATGGCCTTGCTGTATGTACAGGGAGGAACCTCCAGTCAATCTGGAGCAATTACTGCCAATTAGGTTGCGCAGTTATATTCTTTGCCCTTATGTTGCAAGAGCTTTGCTTTTTCCACTAGGGTTAATCCTGATAAGGCTCTGTTATTGGGTATAGGTTGAGGTTCCTCATTTTTCAATTTCACCTGGGTGTGGCTGCTCCACAGGTGAGTGAACTTGCTTTCTGCACTGGGGATAATCTCCAGACAAGCTGGGCGATTCCTGACATGGGATTGCACCATTATATATTGCCCTGTATAATGAAAGCATCTATTTCCCTCGAGCATTAAACCAGAAAGGCTCTATGTATTCAGGCATACGACAAATAGTCGAATAATTGTGTATACCATAGCCCTGTTGCTGTGATGAGAACCAACGCATGGAGATCCTTGTACAGCATCTATACTATAGCTGAAGCCTGTGCTACCTTTGGCAGGAGTAATAGGGTTATATCGCTACTAGGGAGTTTTTGTCCAGAGAATTTCAATTCACCTGGGTGGATTGGCTACACAGGTGATTGACCATTCTAACAGCGCTGGTGGACACCTCCAGACATGCTTGGGGTTCCTACCTCTGGGGCAGAAAATGCATGTGTGTCAGTCGGTGGCAGAATATTAGATACGTCTGGACGCATATGCACGTAGATGCATGCGTACGTAAGTGCTTAACGTAGATAGCAGCATATTTCTGGCCACCTGGCTGGCCAGATTTTTTCTCTGCACATGGAGGCTGGGGGTGCAAATGGCAAGTGTGAATGTAGCTGTATGCGGCCTACCTTAGGTGTATGGGCACCCACAATGTGAACCTGGTTGGCTTAAGCTCAGCATATGGGGGGTCCCCTGAACAGGACGTTGTTAGTGCATCCTTTTACTGGACGCATGCAGTTTAAACATCTGTTGGGCTGTTTATAGCATATGTTCTGTTAGGGGACTTCAATGGGGCATAGCTTTTTTTTTCCAGGCTATTACATGAATATCAAGCTTGGTCTTGTATCCACCCCAAGCATGGGCTCAGGTGGTTGGTTTCGTGTTTTTTTTGGTTTCGTGTTTTTTTTCATTCTCTTCGATTTCACACAAGAGAATCGGCCTTATATCTTGGAGGATATTCGCCCTGTGGAGGAATGGCGCAGGAATACTGGCTGCTCTCTGAATTCAGAAGGCATTTTGCATGCTCAGGCACACGATTTAGAGAAATTTTATTTGGTACAATCACAAGCTGTGTGTTTTATGTCAGATAATATTTGTGGAGCACTGAAATCGAACACAGAGGTGTGATTTGAAACTATTCTGGGCACACACCCGAATACAGCAGATATGGACAAGCCATGATATGCCAGATCACTGCAGAGACAGGCTGCATACTTCAGGGTTTATGGTTGTGCCTGCACCCATGTAATCTAGGCATCGTTTAGGAATGGGCGGGTGTTTTTACCCCCAACAGGTCAGTATGTCGAAGTGGCGACCTGCTTGGGTTTTCTACATGCATCAGCTGCTCTATTCTGCCTATAGTATCGGAGGAGTGTCAAACCTTAGGATCATAGGCCAGCCTCGTGACATTTGTTTGATCTCACAGTTGCTTCGTATTGCCTCGTGGCACTTTGCAGTACAGGTCAGGCCAAGTAATGTCTACAAAAATGCTGCACTGTTTTTCTTTGTTGGGAAAGACAGGGTGCTGAGAGCACATGCAATGAAGGGGTAAACACCCTGTTAATATTGGTTGCCATTTGACATATGTTTTAACTCTTGAGATTGTGAGTGCATTCATTGGCGCAATCGACTATAAAATCTGGGAATGATCAAGTTAATTTTTTAAACGTAGGGGTTAACTGGCCAGGTAGAACTAA